TGGGGGCTGCGTCACAAATGTGAATGCTGTGCATGATCTGTTAGTCTCTAGAAGATGTCACGCGACTCGGTATTTATGGAACCTTCTGACTCCCTGAAAGATGTTTACGAGTAGCTGAAAAGTGCAATAAGAATTGGCTGCAGCGCTGTGTAAACTGATGTCAGTAATATCTTTTTGATTTACTTGTAGGAAAAAATGGAGGCAAGATATGCCAAGCATTTGGTCAGACACAAAATCAAGCATTAGGCTGTTCAGCAAGACAAGTTGGACCCTCAACCAGTGTTTAGCATCTGGAGCACTGCTGTTGGAGTTCCCAGCTGTTCTGTTGTGGCTTTCCGGCTTCCCCAACAAGCAGGCTCTTAGCATTAGGTGGGTGCTCAATCTACATGGGGCTGGTTTGAATGTGCCCTTCCCACACACACTTAGGTTTCCCCCCATAGATTTTTATTCTTCTGCAAATCCTCCCTTTTATGAGCACCTGATGCTGATGGCAAACACAGCCTAAGTAGCTGAAACAGAAGGGAAATATATTCAAGGTTCTATATTTCCATTTTCCACCCACTGTATTGGAGCATTAAAGTCCCCATGCTATGAAAAGTTACTTTTGTAATTCAACACAGACCTGGTTATATAAATAATCCATATTTATAATCCATTCAGCTCTTGGATTTGGTTTTCTTTTTGAATGCTTTATATAATATTTGGGAGAATACTAGGTTAAGTTAGCCGTTAACCTGTGTAGGAAACACTACATTTTAGACTCTTCTGCTGCTATGCTCCTGCGAGCTACATTTCCATCCAAGTTTATGGATTCCATTTTCTCTTGAGATTTTAACATAGCCATAACTCACAGTATTTACTTCTAGATCAAAACAAGGGCATCTCCAACGACGTTGGTTTGTTTATCCTGAAAGTACAGAAATATAGAAAGAACTTTCTCATGACTAACATGAACAACTCTATCTTCCAAAACTGATAGTTCAGTTTATGCATTCTTGTATTTGTGCCATGGTTTTCCATGGTTTGAAACAACCTGTGGTTAAACAAAGAGATTACCTTGTCCTTGCTGTTAAAGGCACAGTAGCAGAATTCAAAGCCAGCTTTACTTTTAGGCAAAATGAGGCAGCTATCTCAAAGCCAAACAAGCCAAAAAGGCAGCCTCAGCTTCAGGCCTGGGGGACTTTTTCTTTTCTTCTTTTGCAATGAATCGCCATTAATTCATAGGGGAATTCATGGAGGGCTACAGCTGTTGGTGGGTGAAGCTGATGGTGGCTTGCAGAAGTGTACCATCCAATCCTTTCTTGGCCTCTTCAGCTCTTGTATGATTCATGGATGTGAATCAGGCACGGAAGCACTGTAGAGAACTTGAATGGCGCTGCAGATCGCATTGGACAGATCTGCTAGTTTTACTTTCTGCTTTTCCAGTCTTAAGTATGATTCCTTCTGACTGTTGACTGGCAGGGAGAGAAGTTCACACTAATGTGTGCATATATTTTGTGTGCATTTCTCCTTCTGCATGTAATTTTGCTTCATATGAGCATCTTTTGCAAGCATTTTTCCAGTCCTAAGATAATGCATTTTTGAATATTATTTTCACAAGTACATGTATTCTTCAGTTCATGTTTCCTTGATATATACATTTCTCTGTGAGTCTATTAATCTTGGGGAGTCCACTGCAAAATGTGGAGAAGTGCACATGTGGAAGGAGGCCCAATTTTCAGTCAGAAAATGCAAGCCACACAAGTACACCCACCATCCCTACCTGGAATGTCTCAAGAGCCAGAAATGTCAAGGATTACACTAAGCTACCGGCTGCAGGCCACCTCCACACAGTCGACATCTTCTTCCTCCTCTCAGGGCCAAGTCAAATATGACAAGGGAACTCCAGACATGGGGTCACCCGGAGTGCTGCCTTGGTCCACCTTTATTTTTATCCCTCTTGATACATGCAGCATACAAGACTTTCATCATATAGCTAGAAGTGCTGGATCCTGCCTAATCCTGGAAGCTAAGCAAGGTCAGGCTGGGGTAAAATCTGGATGGGTGACTTAAGTCCTGAGTGGAGCAGGTGGATGGACTTGATGGCTTGCTAGGGCCCTTGCAACCGTATGATTCATCTAAGCAATCTACACACTGAAGGAGTTTTAGGGCTTCTGTACACGAGACTTTCAACTCTCCTTTTCAGTGAGGCTTTTGCTCCCATATATGCCCCTTTTTTCTTACTGAACTTCCAAAAGAGGTCTGTTGAGCAGGGAAAACTGCAGAAGAAGGTAACCAAAGTGACCCATGGGCTGAACCAACTCCCCTGTGAGCATTACTTCAAAATCAGTGCTTTGGAGGAACATTAGAACTTTATAAAATTGCAGCTCACCTAGAGAAAGTGGAGAGGGAGCCATTTTCCTTCCTCTCTCATAATGCTAGAACTTGGGCTCACCCCGTGAAGCTGAATGGTGTGAGATTCAGCACATTGTCAAGCTGGGAAATTTATTTTCACAAACTCTAATCATCATAGCCACCAACTTTAAAGGGGGATTATATGATCAAATGAACGGGGAAGGCACAAATGTAAAACAGAAAGCAAAGAGGGGGGAAAAATGAAAAGTCCCAGGTACCAATGAGAAAAAGTTTCATTCTTGTTCTGTGTTTCAGAAATCTCCTTTTTCAGGAGCCAAAAATCACCCATTTGTAACAAACCTTCTAATTTGTAACCTTCTAGTGCCTTCTTAAGTGGACTCTAGGGCAGAGGACAGGAAGGCCTGGAGGAATGTTGTCCATGGGGTTGCGGTGGGTCGGACGTGACTTCACAACTAGCAACAACAACAAGCAACAGTGCCTTCTAATTTCTAGTGTTGGGAGTCTGTTATCTGGAAGTACTCTGAGCTAATCCCAAATCCTGCCCTCTGGAATACTAGAGTTTTCCAAGAGGAACAGCATTTTAGGAAGCAGTGAAGATATGAAAAAGGTGAGATTATGAAGTTTTACCCTGTGTGTCACAAGCTACAGTTCCAATAGGACTAGGAGAATATCGTGGAAGAACTTAGAGGACACACCAGTCAAAAAGCTAGGCAAAAACCTCATGATCTCTCAATCTGGCATTCATGAAATGTTTCGGATGGCTTATTTCAGCATTCCTAAGTATTGGCTCTGCTAACTGAGGCTAATGGAAGCTGAATGGAGCAAACCAGAGTGAGGAAAGCTGTTCTACCTCAAATGAGCAGATGAGGTTCCCAACTCCTCCCAGGCAAAACTAGAAGCTTGTCAAGATGAGGTATCTGCTTCCATATTCTTTGCAGGATTAAGATTGGATCTCAAAAAAAAGTACCCCCCTTCCTATCTTTCTGTACTTCCTGCTACATAAACTCTGAACATGGCATTTTGTTGTTGTTGTTAATCAGGAAGTCGTGTCCGACCCATCGCGACCCCATGGACAACATTCCTCCAGGCCTTCCTGTCCTCCACCGTCCCCCGGAGTCCACTCAAGCTCACGCCAACTGCTTCAGGGACTCCATCCAGCCACCTCATCCTCTGCCGTCCCCTTCTTCTTCTGCCATCTATTGTTCCCAGCATTAGAGTCTTCTCCAGGGAGTCCTTCCTTCTCATTAGGTGGCCAAAGTATTTGAGTTTCATCTTCAGGATCTGGCCTTCTAAAGAGCAGTCAAGGTTGATCTCCTCTAGGACTGACCGGTTTGATCGCCTTACGGTCCAAGGGACTCGCAGGAGTCTCCTCCAGCACCGCAATTCAAAGGCCTCAATCCTTCGGCGCTCAGCCTTCCTTATGGTCCAGCTTTCACAGCCATACATTGCAACTGGGAAAACCAGAGCCTTGGCATAGTGGAACACAATAGTGGAACAAATTGTAACAACTGCCTTGGAGAGCAACTGCGCTTTGGTTCTCTATTCCAAAGAAATGCCACATTTTCTCCTTCCCTAAAAAAACCTGTGCAGGGAGTTGGAAAGCAAAGGATGAAAATGGGAAGGTGATGCTCTCATCTAACCCACCTGCAAATGGCTGAGAGTGAGGAAGGGAAGCACATAATAAAACATCTTTGAGAAAAGCTCAGTACCATCCAGTGACAAAAGTGCATAATTGCACAGGTGTGCTTTCATCTTGGAATGAACGGAAATGGAACCAAAGCGGTTCCAGTGGTTCCTAAAGGAATGTAGAAAACCACAAGTGGGATATATTTTTGCGTTACTCATGCGTGTGCCCAGTTTCTTCAGTAGCAACAGCAGCAAGAAAAGGCAGCTGGTAAAAAAAGGAATGCAATATGAATGAAAACACAGATGAAACACAGTTTGAAATAATAAAGGCTAAGGAGGTTTTTAATAACAAAAAGCATAGAAAAATAGATTTTTATAGCCTGTGCTTGAACTATCTGAAACCACAGAAACTTTTAACCAACTTGGTAATCTGTTAGTAAGATTTTTTTTTAAAAATGGGAGTAGTTGGCAATTACTGAGAAAGGTTTTGAGGGGTGTCTGTGGTATCACACTGCCTACCCCTGCGATTGTGTGAAGTTGGTATGGTCTCAAATGCTGGCTTTCCCCTGGAAGCCACAAAAGCCCCTTAAGTTCAATAATTTTGTAAAGACTGGACAACACTTTACAAAAGAATAAGAACATTTTGGGGGAAACGACACCTGTATTCTCAGGAATTCGTGGGTTTGTTTAACTACTAAAACATGTTTATACCATCTTCCATTCTATTTGGATTCCAGGGAGATATGAAGCATAAGATTAATGACAGAACAGAATAACAGTGACAGAATGGCTGATAACATCTTTAAAATCAGGCGCACATTAAAATGTTTGGCTAAATATATGTATTATTGCCCTGGGGTGGAACGAATGCAAAACCGCTGCCAGGCAACACCTCCTGCCCCCAGGTAATGACTATAGCACTTGTGGGATTGTGCCTGTGCGGAACAGTGGTCTGAATGTTTGAACCCCAGGAGATCTGGGTTTAGTTTCCATTCAGCCAAGACATTCACTAGCTGGGTTTCACCTTGCCCCTGACTCTCAGCCTCACCTGCCTCACAGCAGAATATAGAGTTAAAAGAACATATGTGGTCCCTTGGCCTCCAGGGAGAAAAGATGGGATACACATATAATACAAACATTATTGGTGTCAAAATGATGTGGTTAGGCTCAGATCCTCTGAACCTTGACAGGTGTGTGTGTGTATGTAAAGGATGAGGGAATGCGGCAGCAAAATGTCTGGTGTTGGTATGGGTGGGGGTGAGTCCCAAGCCGTTTAGGATTTTAGCAGGAAGCACCAGCACTTTGAATTGGATGTGGAAGCAAGCAAGCAAGCAGCCAATGAAGCCCCTTTCAAGATGGTGTCACATGCACAAACCAGGCAAGATTCTGCAGTAATCGGAGCCTCCAAGTTGTCTTCCAGGCAGCTCCATGCAGAACGTCTTGCTGCCTTCCAGGTGGGAGGGCACGAGGGCGGTGGCAGACAAACCTGTGTGGAAGGATCCTGCATTACTCATAATGTATTTTGCTTGCTCCTTCTTGGGAGTAAGAGAAAGGTAAGAGCTTCCCCGCACATGGGTGCTAGTTGTCTCCATCTCCAGAGCCGACGTTCATCTTCATTTGCAAGCTGAAGAACGATCATTGTCTGGAGATGCATCCGTGGTCACGTGCCGGCACGACTAAATGCCGAGGCGCACAGAATGCTGTTGGTTTTCCCACCAAAGTGGTACCTATTTATCTACTTGCGCTTGCCTGCTTTTCAATTGTTAGGTAGGTAGCAGCTGGGGCAAGGCAGTGGGCGCTCACCCTGACGTGGAGATTCGAACTGCCGACCTTCCGATCAACAGCCCAGCAGCTCCACAGTTTAACCTGCTGCGATTCCTCGCTCTAGGGAACAGAGGGGTCCCCGACATGCTCCAGGTCGTGCAAGCATTAAGTGGGGGCTTGGAACGAAAGCAAAGCAATGCTGAGTGACTCGATCACAGAGGGCAGCTTTCTTGATCCTGGTGCCTTCTGGAGGATTGGACCACAAGCACCAGCATTCCCAATCAAGGGCTGATAGGATATGGAGTCCTATACATCGAGAGGGGAGGGGGGGCAAGCAAAATGTCAAACCGAGTGGTATAAGGTTGCAAGCAAGCAAAAGGAATGGGATCCATAAAGGGAGGAAGAGCAGGAAAATGTTTAAGATGAAGGCAGCTGTGAAACTTTAAACCAAAGGTTAGTCATTAAAAGCTAGTCTCAGCTCAACCCACCTCACAGGGTTGTTGTGAAGATATGAGCAAATGGAGGAGTTTGGTCTTATGTACAGTGCCTTGAGTTCCTTTAAAGGAAAAATGACGAGCAAATAAATAAATAAAAAGGTGCCGTATTTGTTATTGTTAGATCCCACTTTTTCCTCCAAGGGGGGTAGTGTTACATGGTCCCCTTCCTCCTCTCCATTTTATCCATCCTACAACCCCGAGAGTCAGTGAGAGGCCCAGTCACCCCTGCGCCTCATGGCTGAGTGGGGACTAGAACCCGGATCACCCGAGTCCCGGCCTGACACTCACGCCACTAAGCCACGCGGGCTCCTCGGCCGGGCACTGAGGCCCTCTGCCACCTCCGCAGCTGCAGTGACCAGGGCTGGTTTGGGTGCTCCCACCACCAGAGGCGGGACAGCAAGCGACCCTCCCTGCTTCCCACCTCCTTCCCATGCCTCCCCGCCCCTCACTGAGAGCCAAGCCTCCCCTTTCCTGTGCCCCCCAGCCCCACATTGCCACTGGCACAGTTTTTCTGCTTTTGTTAGAAAGCCATTTTGACTGTAAGAAGCAGTCTGCGCCGCTCCACGGAGAGATGGCCAGGCTGACTGCCTGGCTGAGAGGGGTTCTTCCTTCAGTGCGGGGCGCCCCATGGGAGCCGGTGTCCCCCCATCACCCGCAGGATGGGCAGTCTTGGGGACACCGTGCCCCACAACACGTGGAGGCAGGGCTTGCAGAGGCAGGCATTGCCCCCTGGGCCTGTCACACCCACCCTGCTTTATGGCCTGCATGGCTCCTGCAAAGGGCCACCCACCCACTCACCTTTCAGGTCACCCTGAGTTCCCGGCAGGCAGGCTTGGGTGGTCTGGGAGCAGTCCTCTGGGCAGCATCTGCTGCAGTGGAGCATGCGGCTGCTACAGCTCTCCCCAGTGCCCAGGAAGCTCCAGAAAGCCCTGCCGGCTCCGGTCCCCCCTGTGGAGGGTGCAGCCGGCATGGCTCTCAGCACCCACCAGCAGCACACAAGGGGCACCCAAGGGCCCCCCTTCTGCCGGCAGCCTCTGATTTGCCGCTCCTCCCACCTAATGCAGGAACTTCGTGGGAGGCCCCAGCAGCGGCCGGCTCAGAAGTCCGGCAGCCCATTGCTGCAATCCTTGTGGAGGCTGCCACTTGCGTTTCCGGGAGAGACAATCTGGGTTCCCATCATTCCTGTTCAAAGGAGAGACAGTGGTTTAATTTCTGGATGAGCAGCCATGTTGACCTCTTACAGCCAAAGCAGCAAAGGGTACTCTAATGGCTAACAAATTTATCGAGGCTTCGGTTAAAACTCTTTGGTATTAACTCTTCGTTAAAACGCTCGTCCAAAACTCACGAGCCACCTTCCACAAAACCTCCCAGATACACTGCTGGGGTCTCATCGCAACCCAGGGCAGAGCATACGCTGCCCCTTCGTGTCTGTATCATTCCTTTCTTCTTATGACTGCCGACTGTCAGAGGAGTCGACTGTCACGTGAGTCAATGCAGCAGTGAGAAAAGCTCTTGAGCAAAATCCCTCTCTTACAAAACAAGGCGAGAGAGATAAGGGCTGAAAGAGCCGCCAGAGGCGAGGTGGGACAGCTGTGAGCATTTTGCTCCTGTCACCTGACGTTTTTCATGGCCAATGGGGATTGGGGCCCAGATCTCCTGGGTCCCTAGTCTAGCTCTTTAACCTCCTTTCTGCACTGGCCCTCTGAAGAAGCCACCCAATTTTCTCTCTAGATAGCACAGAATGCAAAAAAAGTTAGGCAAACTCTTTGTTACGTAACATGGTCCGGCTAAAGGACATTCCACCCACAGCGTGCTCTAGTCCTGGGGCATGTGCCCTTAGACACCATTCCTGCCCCCCTCCCAGGCTCCGCCCCCCCCCAAATGATTTTCATTTTATTTTTGGACAATGAATTCAACAGAATGTTTTTGCATTTTTTAACCCAGAGGGGCCTCCTCACCACTGCCACCTTGTACCTAGCTTCCTTCCTCTTTGTGACCACCTTTCAGGTACTTGTAGAAAGCTATCATGTCCCTGCTGAGTCTTCTCTTCTCAAGGCTGAACATACCCAGTTCTTCCAGTCTCTCCTCAAAGGGCCTTGTTTCCAAACCCTGGATCATCTTTGTTGCCCTCCTCTGAAACTTTTCCAAGTTTTTTGGCACCTTTCTTAAAAGTTGGTGCCTACAACTGGACACAGTACTCCAGATGAGGTCTTAGTGGTGAGAATAGGGGCACTAGTACTTTTTGTGATTTGGAAGTAATATTCCTATCAATGCACCCCAAAATATCATTTGCCCCTTTTGCGGCTGCATTGCATTGTTGGCTCATTTTTAGTCTGTTGTCCTCAGTAACTCCAAGGTCTTTTTCTTTTGCAATACCATTGAGCCAATTATCCCCCATCTTCTGTTGCTGCATCTGGCTAGTAGTGGCATCGTAAGAAAAGTCTCAGAAGAATTTTAACGGCCAGGAAAGCTGATATGGAAAAAGGGTATTCTGTGAATGGCTTTAAAGGCTGAAAGGCTCCCTGAATTGAGCTCAGAATTAAACCAAATTTAGGACATTCAGGACTGATGAGGTCTGTCCCAGGGAGTCATCTCAGTTAGAAGGTGACCTGTATTTTGAACCAGTTGAAACTTCCAAGAAGTCCTCTAGGTCAGCCCTTTGTCCAATGCATTGCAGCCGTCTAAATGGGACATAAGCAGAGCATGGATCACAGCTGCAAGTTTCTCTTTGGTAGGAGAAGTCAAAATATACGAAAGATTGGCTGGGGGATGCTGGGTGTTGTAGTCCAGCACACCTGGAGCATGACAGGTTGAGTGAGCCTGGTCCAAATCAACAGGATGCACTATTATCCCCTGCCCATGTGGGTACAAGATGGCGGGCCCAAAGCCCTAGCTTTCAGTTCACTGACCCTGGGGCTGCCCCTCATTCCTTCAGACTTTTACCTGGCATGGTCATTTGCCTCCATGGGGAAACCTCTCTAGCCTCATTGCCGCATTCATGAGGAAAGACACCATCTTAAGGGCTTACTCACTGCAGGTTCTTTAGATGAAGCGCAAGCCTAGACTTCCTCCTGGCCTCACAGCCCTCCCCAGTGCTTTCGTCAGACTATCACTATAGCTTATTACTGCCTTTTGTTTCCTGTATGTTCATTCATTCATTCATATAAATCTTCAGGTGTCCCTCTGTCTTTAAAAAGAAAACACAAGCCATGTTAAAATAGTTGCAGAGCTGCTCCAGAGAAGGCAGAGGGAGGTGGGCCTGACACATCTCAGGTTATCGCTGCGGGTTATGCTTCCCCCTCTCTCAGAGTTCAGCCATGGAAAGGAAAAGCACGACCGGGCTAAATGAAGGGGGGGGGGTGTCCAAACTGGCCCCAGAGAATTCTAGTAATGCCACCCATGTGTTCTACCTCATGGAGAACAGACTTCCTCTGAAGGCAGCCTTCAGTTGGCGAGCCCAGGTTGGAGTCACGCTAAGGAAGGCAGCAGAAGCCTTGAAGCTGCCCAAGGCTTGAAGACCGGCATGCAGGACTGGCCAGGCACCCACAGGTCACCTGGCCACAGACTTCCATCGCCCTTGCTACACCATGACTAATAATCAGGAACCTGGGCGTTGTAGTCCAAAACATCTGGAGGGGCCCGGGTTTGGAAAGTTGGCATAGACAGATGCTAACAGCAAGAAAACTGAGCCTAGGTATTTACACCCACCTGTGGCTTTACATTTTCCCAGCCAAGAGACCAGGCCGATGTACTTCTGGGTGCTGAGCGACCTTACCTGAAAGAACTATGTTGCAAATGTGGCCTTTATCTACTAGCAGGTCGGTCCCTACAGTGTTTTTCAGTTCAAGAAAGGAGCTGCCAATGGTCTTGGAGTGATCCTGTTCCCTGTTCCAGCCAGGTAGTTCTTCCCTTTTCTCACATGCTCTGTTTCATTCCCCGCCATCCCTGGAATGGTCAGTAAGCCCTGCAGAGTCACTGAGCATGCTCAGTCCTTCTGTGCGGAATGTAAGGGTGGTTTTCCCCCCCCCATAGGGTTCTTCTCTCCCCCAATCCCCCAAAAATGTTTTGAACTTCTGCAAACCTTGGGGTTCTCTCCATACTGGGGAACCTTGTTCACCTCTGGATGGTGCCATTTTGGCTATAAGAGGATCCACACTGGGCAAATGAGTTTTCCTTTAATACAAAGGATGATTATCAGGTCTTGCCCATTTGTTCCTCTTCTTCCTTTTCCTAGGTCCGAAGAAGATCCAGAACAAGCCAAGGAGCAAGCAGGAAGTGACCCCTACCATCTTGTTGTCTATTAAGGGCGCCGAGAGAGCCCACGAATCTCTGCTCCCTTCCTCCCACCTCTTTTCTTGTCCACTCCAGCTCTTTTCCAGAAATGAGGAGCTTAAGGAGGATGAAGAACATAAGGAAGGCTCACAAAGCTGAATGCATCTGTGGAGGCAGGGTCAACCCTACAATTAGACAGAGAGGGACAACCACCTTGGGTAGTGGATACTGGGAAGTGGTGGCAGCAGACTCCGTTCCCTCTTCCTGAATCCACCTCCCTTGAAAGACAGAGTTGTGTGTCACCCATGGCTTGTCCTGTCCCCCCAAATTAGCCTGCTGCCTCTGGGTGTGATGGAGGGAGCTGCCCCATGGCCAGCAGTGAAGTAAGACATGACTGCAGAAAGAGGTGTCAACCTTAATTTGGCCCCACAAACATGGTTGAAGCCACAGGGGTTCAAAGCCAGACTTTTAGGGACTCAAACTCTTGGGCCTGGATGAAAAACCTCTATTTCCACTTTTTTCCCCACACTGGATTGTTTTAAATCTCAAACTCTTTCTGTTCTGGATATGGAGAAAATTGTGATTTGGAGAGGTTACTGGCACAGGCTGTGTGCATTTCCTGGAGAGTAAGCCCAGTAAATGCCAGGAGATTTTTCTGCCCGGACATGCCTAGTGAAACGAAGTTGGGTTTCTGATGGATCACTTGAGTTGGCCCTCCCTCCCTTGCATTTGGCCTCTCCTACATGATGTTGGGCCACCTGCACTAAAATGCAGATGGAAGAGTGAACCTAAAACCTTGAAGAATAGCAACTCTTGCGATGTATAGTAACATTTTTTTAAAAGTAAGACTCCCACACACCAACAGGATGATACTGATTTATGAAGTCCAGGTACCAAAAATACAAACCACCCCCAATAAACAGAGGCAGCTGGAGTATTTCTCTCCCTTCACCATTTCTTCCTAGCAGATGTGGAGCTTAAATGTGGAGGAAGACAATTCTCCCTCTGCGGTTTTGCTTTTCACCAGATTTGGACATTTCCCCTGGTGTGGCTATTCGGCACCTGCTTCTGCTCAGCCAGATGCATCAGAAAGTCCCATTCCTTTTAAAGCTGAATCTTGTGAAAACAGGCACACTTACTTGAAAATCAGCTTCACTGAACTCACAAGGACACACTTCCTGATTTACACAAATTGGGTCTGGTTGTGCACTTGATAGCAAGGGATGTCTCACATCTTCTCTGGGGTGTTGTCACACTCAGCCATGTGAGACTTCTCAAACGCAGATTGCAAAATTATTTTCAGTTCTGTTTTCTGCGCACACACGGCTGTAATAAGCCTTTATTATGAAAAATGGGCAGAAGAAACATGGAACCCTGACAATTGTATGTGAGCAAGTATACATAAGCCGCAAGATATATTTAACTCACTGAAAATTTGGGGGCAGCAAATAAAGACAAGGTGTGAGGCTTCATTAAGGATGTGGGAGAAATTCAACCCTTTCAGTGGAAGGAGTGACCCCTGGCTTCCTGCATTTCTTGCTCTGCATTGCCCCTAGACAGCCGTTCCTGGTCTTCTAGCTACAGCTTTCCAGCAGGAATGGGAAGGAGACTGGAATGCTGTCAGGATAGTTAGCCTGGTGGCC